CCCCAAAACCCCAAAACCCCAAAACCCCAAAACCCCAAAGGAATTAAAATTATTGATTTTAGAAATATGAGATATTAATTAATAGGGTGTGCAATAGAGGATTATTATTAATTAGGAAGAAGATATTATGGTAAGACTTTTCAACATTCTTTCATCTCCATGTCTTAAACTTGTTTTGTGTGTAGGTGAAGAAAACAACAACTAAAAAGAAGGTGGTAGCCTCAACAGGTGCAAAGGCAGGCTCAAAGGGAGCTAAGAGTCCATTGTTCGAGAAGAATCCTCGCAACTTTAGAATCGGAGGAGACATCCAACCAAAGAGAGATCTCACTCGCTTCGTCAGATGGCCTAAATATATTCGCATCCAGCGTCAAAAGAGAATTCTTCTTCAGAGACTCAAGGTGCCCCCCGCTCTCCACCAATTCTCAATGACTATCGACAGAAACCAAGGTAATATTTCACTCTCCTTTTCGTATCCACAATACTTATTATTAATATTTGTTTAGCTTCACAACTTCTTAAATTACTTGCAAAATACAAGCCAGAGACCAAGAAAGATAAGAAGGTCAGACTCCAAAAGGAAGCTGAAGCCAAGAAGGCTGGTGGTGATGCCAAGAAGAGTGCTAAGCCATACGTCTTGAAGTTCGGTCTTAACCACGTTACCACACTCGTTGAAGAGGGTAAGGCCAAGCTCGTTGTTATTGCTCATGATGTTGACCCCATCGAACTCATGGCTTTCCTCCCAGCTCTCTGCAGAAAGAAGGGTATCCCCTACGCTTTCATCAAGGGAAAGGCAAGACTCGGACAACTTGTTCATCAAAAGACTGCTACCTGCGTTGCTGTTACCGATGTTAGAAAGGAAGATTACCAAGATCTCGAGACCCTTACCAAGAACTTCAGAGCCGCTTTCAATGACAACGATTCACTCAGAAGAAACTGGAGCACTGGTGTCATGGGTATCAAGAACCAACACATGATGGCCCAAAGAGAAAGACTCAGAGAGATTGAACTCCAAAAGAAAGCTAACATGTGAGATGTCTTCCAAATAATAGATTTCTCTTCAAAAATCATTAAATACATTTGTGTTCACTAATCATATATATTCTACTCACACTCCATGTTTAAATTATATTTATTTCTCCGCTGTTTTATCATATTTCTCACTTATAATATCCTTGAGAAGTTTGATAGTTTCCTCAAGACCTTTGATGAAACCCCAATCTTTGTCCTCAGTTTTTTCCATCAACTCCATATGGCACATATCAATAAGATTTACATCGACAATTTTGAGTTAACTATCATAAAGTTCATATTCATCATAGTAATCCCTTGCAAAAGTAAAGAATAGACTTGATCCAAGAATGACTGCCCTTGAATATTACCTTAGAAATTGTTCTAGCTCTTAAATTCTCAGAATTAATCTTTCAATTAATATTCTGGGTGCAATTTATCCTGATTAAGATGTTAAAATCTTGGTAAATGCTTGTTTAACCTAATCATAAGTCCTTGTCTAACTGAAATCTTCACAGAGATAATCCTTAACCTAGCAATTTTCAAAGATGCAATAGCCAGTTACTCTAAAGCCATAAGTGATAGTTGTTGTAGAATCATCTAGATATTTGAATTCTTCATAGTCTGGTGAATCCAATGATTTCAAGACACATTTTGTTCCGATCTTTAGATCAAGATAAGAAACAGGCTTAATTTATACAGGTTGATTATCAATTAATAAGCCCTTGCTTAGATCTTTTCTGATATCTAATAGGTTTTAAAGTCTGACATTGAATTTATCCTGGATTGTGGGATTTGGTTCATAGCCAAAGTAATGAGGGACAAATTTCCTCAAACCCTTATAATAGACTCTCCAAGTATCATCAAATATGTGCGGTGGAAATGCATCTGTGTTGAATATACATTCGTATACATCTATCTCATACTGTTTACACACCTTTAATATTGTTTAGTGACCTTCTTCAAAAATTATTTTGCTTTTGTCTTCACTACACCCTGCCAAGTATTCCTATAGTATCTGAAGTTATTTTCCCGAGTTTGTGTGTTTTCTTTACAAAGACCCCCTGTGATTTTATTTAGATTTCTAAAGTATATTTCCCATTTTAAATTCTAAATTATGGAATCTTCAATACCACTCGGGGTTTTGGGGTTTTGGGGTTTTGGGG